GTAAATACCCGGATTGAATTTCTGGAAAATTGTGATTCCGCTTCTGTGCAATTGGCAACAAATAAATTATTTATTATTAATAAATGCATGATTTATATTGATTTATTGATTATGTTGTTGCTATTTTTTAACATTTAAATGGAAAAAAATAAAAAGTGTTATTCATGACTTTTTTTTATTTTATCATTGAATATGTAATTCCTGCAAAAAGTAAAATGTAAATGGCAATTTATTTGATGTTAAATTCCTTTTATAAACTAAATTATTTCAGTTAAAAAAAATGCATATAATGATTTTTTTAAAAATCTGTTTTAATACAGAATTTTATTATTTGGGCTATTTTTACCTACCTGTGATTTAGGGCCATTTTTTCCGGGACCACTTTTACCGTACACCAGTGCGAATCATTGAAATCTTATCATGTAATTATATATTCTGTTAGCTTCACATGATTAGATTGGTACTGTAATTGGAAACGTTGTACACAATGCAACCTTTTCTATTTCTTTTATTCCTATTGTACTTGTGCATTAACTTCACAACCTTCATTTCCTACCAGTTTAAATTATGATTTAGTTGGGTGGAGAGACACAAAAAAAAAAATAAAATGATCTTGACACATGAGAACACAAGTCAATGGTTAGGATAATATTCAAACTCAGGAATATATAATACCTACCAGGATACAAATGCTATCTAATATAAGCTAACAATATTGAAAATATACTAATGAATACAGTTCACTCTCCAATTCGAGACCACTTTTGGGACCCGAAAATTTGGGGTGGTTTTGTGGTTGGTCTCCAATCAGAGGGCTAACTTTGTGTTAAAAGGTTGATGATTGTTATTTGGGTCTTTGGAAAAGTGGTCTAAAATTTGGGGGGTCTCGAAAGTAGAGGAGTCTCGAATTGGAGGTTGCACTGCACAGTATTTGAATTGTTTACATCATATAAATGAGTTACGTTTAAAATTGTAAGTTAAATAGCAAAATTATTTCTTTGCCAATAAATGGAATATAATTCCATTTCTTATTTGCAAAGACCCGTCAATTGACTTTAAAAACTAATTCAAGATTTTTACAGTAAACAATTTTTTTTAAGGTTTAAATGCATCTTTTTATTCTTTTGTTAAATTTGTTTGGTATAAAAATGCTCAAAAAAATACAACTCTGGTTTTAAATCGACTCAGCTTATATTAATGCAAAAAAAGAAACATTTCAAAGACGAAAAGTCGTATAAAAAAATCATTAACAAAATTCTCTAAAGAAGAGATTATGATCATTATTTTCAGTGCCTGGAGGGGAAGGCGGTTTGGGCCCCGTCGACAGTAAATTTTTCTAAATCATAATAAAAGCCATAATCTTCTTTCTTATCTCAGCACCAACCATGGTCTGGCCGAGTGAGTTTATTTCATACAAAAAGCAGATAAGAAACAATAATTTTTCAACACACACACATGGAGATTTTGATAAACTGTTCTATTATTTAATTGAATAATTAAAAGTGAATAGGTTTTTACTACTGTAGAACCGCTTAATCGCCGACCCCCCCTCCCCCATTGAAAATGTTTGAAGCAAAAATATCACGCTCAAGTAGATAAAAATCACTTTGTATCCCCTTATGTTACCAGCTAGCTTCCTCTTACTCAATCACAGAGTAAGTATGTCACTGTACTATATCAAAGACAGTACCTCAAGGATAATCTAAAATTTTATGTATTGTATAAGGTTGAAAGAAACCTGAATGACAATTGACTGACAGCTGTCAGGGACAGCTACCAGCTGTCATGCATCACTGATTTATTCTAATTATTTTTTTTCAATGATTATAACCTACTTTTAGAACCTGATTGTGAGTGTTCTTTTGAAGGTGGATCCACCATTCTTGTTCCAGCGACATATGTATTATGTTGATTTCAGCAAGTAAGTTATTACCAAAGTGTGAATCCATTTTTAATGTATCTACAATCTGCAGTGTGGCTGGTTAATCTCTTTCTGTAGGGGGATTCAAGGAGGAGGGTGCTTAATCGGGGTAGGTCCCCTAAATGTTGGAAAGTTATAAAATAAATTGAGAAAAAAGTAGATAATTTTATATTAAAATTAAAGTCTGGCAGTGCCATTTCCAGCCATCTAGAGGCACCATAGCCACAAAATATTGTACCTCAACCCCAACCATGGTGGGGATGATCCCTATGGTGGTGCTGGAGTGGTATAGACCTTCCATCTCCAAAAATCCCTTCCTGGCCCCCCCCCCCTATTATGTTTTTTTTTTAGCCTGCAGTATGCCTGTTCGTTTACAAAGCATTTTGTGATAATTCAGGGCCGCACTCAAACCCTTACTTAAAGGATAAATTTGAGTTTTAGCAGGCAGAATAAACACTCTGAAAAATTTATGATCTTCACAAAATCTTGTTTTATTCATTTGACTGAGGAGTGAGGGGAGGGCAGGGCGATGAGAAAATGCTATGGATTTAATGGTATACTTCCTTGTTTTGCCTTGGGTCATAGGAAAATGTTGTGTACATGTTTGCTTACACATGTGAATCTGATTAGAAAAAGTTAACAATGTACTGAAATAAGAATGCTATTACAAATATGAAGAGTGTGCTAATATACATGTTGTATTATTGTTAATAATTATAATTATTTTATAAATACTGTATAAATACCATATCTAGATGGAATGATGATATAATATTTGTATTTTTGATTGGATTTTCATTCCAGGTTTAGCTCTTCGTCTGTTAAGTATATCAATATTATCCGTGATCCTATAGAGAGGTTTACGTCACAGTATTACTTCAAACGATTTGGCGATGGCAAAAATGATCAAAGCCAACGTCAGTTTAAAGGCTGTCTCTTATACACATCTAGATGTGTATAAGAGACAGCTATGTTCTCCAGCCATTCCTCAGTCTGGTATGTAAATAATGTATAATCAGTGGAGGGGTCAGGGAAGTGGGAAATTTTCCCTGTCAAGCAAGCTTGGATCTTCCATTGGCCGATGCTAAAACAAGCTGCTTGGACTAAAAATATTAATTTGCCCTTCATCTAAACAAAGTTGATATCAGTACATGGTATCTAATATTATGGCCTTTAAGTAAAATGTTTGGGTATCCTAAACTGTAAATCTCTCCACATCAACCCCACCAGGGATTTTATTCCGCCCGGACCCCTGACTCTGCTCTAGGCCCCTTGATTCGGACCCCTGACAAACTTGTTGGGGTTCCTGTGTATAATTTACTTATTATGTGGTGAAGAGACAAATGTGTTTGTCCAAAGCAATGAAATGAATAATGGTGATAATTATATTCACTTCTTTTGCATTCTCAATTTGTTTTAATTTGTTTTTAAACTGTATGTTGTAATTAATAAGAATTGGATTTTTATCTCTGTACATTTGAATGGTCAATTTATATGAAACTATTTTACTAAATATGTTTTTTTTTCAATTGAATGTTATCACCTTTTTATGTTTGTGTTTGTAATTTATTGTCTATTTATTTACTGTTCACTGGAAAACCTTTTATATAGTAATTTAGTTTGCTTTATGTAATCATCAGGGTTTTGTTTTTGTCTTCTGAATTTTTTTTATTGTATTTTGTAACTGATTTTACCCAGAAATAAATTTAAAAAATTTATTATTAATATTTCAATGTATAATGTATTTATATTATATTATACATTGAAATATTAATAATGTATAATGTATTTATATTATATTTTGCAGACTATAAATGAATGTGTCTTGAAGAATAGACCAGAATGTGGTACTAAGAAACTTCAGTACATAATCCCATTTTTCTGTGGTCATAGCCCACAATGCAGGTAAGTATATATAACATGCTAATGTTTTATATTCATATTAAACCTACCATAAAACCTTGAATTGAAGCCAGTGGGCTTAATCTCGAGATGAAGCCATCTACAATTGGAGCCCCCTCTTTAGTTTGCAAAATTAGCCTCGAAAATAGGCTGAGGCTTCTTTTGGAGATAGTACAGTACATACACTGTAAATGAATTTCAAAAAAAAAAAAAAGAAAGAAAAACTTGGTTTATACAGTAGTTTAGGTGATGCCAGTTAAATACACTCCATGATACAGATTGATGTCACAGTTGCCTTATTTATTGTTTTATAGTACAAATGCACAAAATTTACAGCATTCATTTTGAAAAGAAGCCTCCGTCTTTGCTTTGCAAAAGTAGTCTCGAAAAGAAGCCCATCTCAAAATGAAGCCCATCTCGAAAAGAAGCCCATCCAAAGTTTGCAAAAAACGATCAGTCTTGTAAACACTTGATCTCTTTTTGAACGTAAACAAATTGGTGTCTAAGGCTTTAAATCTACTGTATAGGTTGCTTAATTTTTCTATTTATTTTACCTGCGAAAATGAATACCCTCTATGCATGTTTTTCAACCAGGGGTGTAGACTGGTTTTGGCCTGGGGAGGGGGAATGCAAATAATTCTCTATTCCGATGAAATCTTATTTTTGTTTTCATAAAAAACAAAAATGTTTTTGTTTTTGTTTTTCTTTAGTTGCACACTTCAGCACCCTACGGCCATGTGCATTGTGTGCCATGCCGTGGCCTGTTTACAATGGAGGTTCAAAATTCAGTATATCAATACACAGTTCAAATTTTTTACATTTTCACTGGGCACAAGAAAGGAACCAACAGACAAGCAATGACTTTTATTTAAACAATAAATAAATGAAAATATATTTTAATGTGTTATTATTTAAGGTTGCCAGGTAGAACACCATTAGAAATGGCTAAGCTAAACGTAGAGCGTGATTTTATAGTGGTGGGAGTTCTGGAAGAGTTGGACGACACGTTTGCAGTCTTAGAAAAAATGCTACCACGTTTTTTTACTGGAGCAGTGGAGTATTTGAGATCTCCAGGTAAGTGAACAAAACTGACAAAAATAATATGTTAGGCTGGGCAAACACTGCACATGACCATCGTCAGCTGACGCGATTTTATGAAGAACGTAACGCGACGTTCATGATCCCTTCAGACGACCACTGGTGTCGCGTCGTCTAGGGCTCACAGTGAGTGGCGTTTGATTCGTTGTGCAACAGTAATGCGACACAGCAAGTGCCCACCTTTAAAGATACACTGTTCCTCATTAGTACTAACTAAATCACTGTGATGGTCAGGCCTATAACAGCGGGGATGGGGGGATCAGCAAAATCTGGATTGTTTGTCATTTATGCTGTATGTAATTGTGCTTTAAAGTCAGGTTTAGGAGGAAAAAAATGTTTTGATATGTTTTAAAACTGATTTTTCTAAGACAGAAAAAATTGTTTGCCGAAAATCTGGGGTGAATGAGATACAGATTTTTGAATATTTAAAAACTGGGGGAAAGAAGGTGTAACCGATCTTTTTTACACCTTTTCTCCCTGTATTTTATATATTTATTAACCTTTCTCAATTCACCATTTCCCAGTTTTTCGTAAAACAACTTTTTTCTGTCTTAGAAAAATCATTCTGTATGTATCAACATTTTTTCCCCTCCGGAATCTTTATTGCCTTTAATGTATTATACAATTTTTATTATATAATTTTGATTACCAAATCTTTAAGATACATCTTCTGCAGGCAACACTTTTGCTCGTAATCGGTCAGCAACTGTAACCAAGCACAAGGAGGTACCGTCGGATGAAGTGAGAACAATACTTTTGAAGCAAATGTCGTTGGAGTATGAATTCTACTACTACATCAAGGACCGCTTTCAAAAACTCAAGATTCAACTTGGAATTGGTGATAGCAAACAATGATAAATTGCAGTCGAACCGTTATTTCCATGGCATTGAATTACAATCTGTGATGCATTTTTTCAACCTAAGGTCATACAATCGTGGTTGTAGCCAAGTTTTGTCCAGGTGAACCTAGTTTGATAATTATACAATTACAAGTTCGGTTTTTCAAACTAAGATTGTCATAAACACTGTCACACGACCGCGTTCTGTGACGTAGCTTTGTACAACATAGGGTGGACTAATATCTTTGAGATGGTTTATCAAACCTGGATTGTAGCTGTAGTCTGCTATGTACCTGTTATGACATAGTCGCACTGCAACCTTTGACCTAGGTTTATCAAACTAAAATTTGTTATGTGGGTTTTCAACTTAGCTTTGCTACTACCACTGGAACTACAATCTTTGTTATAATAGAACATTGACAAAAGACAAGTATAACAATTTTAAAAGCACAAATTACTAGTATTGTACTAAGTACCAATCATTGTACATATGCCTATCTGATGTTTTGCAATGTACAGTATTCTCTCTTATTTAAGTCCTGGCTTATTCCAAATAGAATACAGTGTGCCCTCCAATTCGAGACCACTTTCGGGACCTGAAAATTTGGGGTGGTCTTGGGGTTGGTCGTCAGTTAGAGGGCTAGCTCTGTACCAAAAGGTTAAGATAGTTATTTGGTCTTTGGAAAAGTGGTCTCAAATTAGAGGGTGCACTGTATACTTCTTCTTGTGTAGCCCTTATTCGAGAGTGGATCTTTTGGAACCTTTATTAAGCCAAATAAAAAAATATATATTTTGTTGGCCACCCCTGACCGACCCAAATTTTACAAAATTCTGGGTTGGCATTTTAGCTTTTTTTTTTTCTTGACTACAATGAACAATATTCTTTTATGAGCATATAAGGCTGGAATAGCATTGGCCAGGCTTATTTTGCAGGATGGTACGCGATGCAAATACCTAATTGTTGTATTATTTGTGTATTTTCTGCTTTTTAGGCATAAACTCATTTTTGTTGGCTTTATAACGAATCCACATTAAGGTAAACAAAAAGTTATGTATTTCTTTACCACCAAAATTTTATAGAGTTTTGAAATGTTAGTAAAAATAATAGAAAGAATTTTAAATTAAAGCCCCATTCCCGGCAAAATTTCAATTTTTAAGAAAAATCTAATTTTTGTATGTTATAAAGATTTATAAATATAATACGGAATTGCTAGTTTAACTGAATTTAGACATTCCTAAGAATGAAAAAAATGTAAAATAAGACTGAAATTTGATTTTTTGTGTTCCACACACAAAAAATAAATACGGATGAATTTTTCATGTTGATTTTGCGATAGGTCGTGAGAAGAAATATCGTAGGCTCCGAAAACATTAGCCTATCCAACGCTGCTGGCTAGGCCTAGCCTTACCTCGATTTTAGGTTCTGTTATCACACATAAAAACGGCCGACATGATATTTTCCGTTGCTAGTATTGACACTTGTGAAATATAATATTTCATAGGAATTATTTCAAATTTGTTAAAAAACTGATTCTGACTGAGATTTTGACACTTAACCAAACATATCTCAGCCTAACCGAACGACCGCATTGTGCGAGATGCGAAGTACAAAAAGTAATCTCATTAGAGAGGGCGCACTTTATTGACTGTATAAAGTATACATAAAAGC